GCAGCCCCCGGCGTGGCAGTGTCGAGCTGGGGGCAGATGGACGGGGTGCGGAGGGATGAGCCCTGCCCTGAGCCTGCTTCTGTCCCTGGCCAGCTGCACCCTGCTCCGGGGTAAGTCCTGCTCTGGAGCTGCCGCAGCGGGCCAGGGGTGGCCCTGCCTGCAGTGGGGGGGGAAACACGAGGACAACTCCCAGACCCACAGAAGGTACCTGCAGGGAGGAGGGAACTGAGCGGTCTTCAAGGTGTGATGGGAAGGAAAACCCCAGGGTCGCCAGCAAGCACGTCAGGGTGCTGATGCCTGTCGTAGGACCGCAGATGGGGTGCTCCAGGGTGTGCAGGAGATGCGCAGGACGCGGATGCTCAGCGCGGCGCTGGCAGCCGGTGCTTGCCTGAGCCTGGCAGGGAGTCGGTGTTTGCCTGAATCTGGGAGCTGTCAGGCGGGGGGAGGCCCCACGATGCCGATGCAGAGCGGGGAGACCCGTGCAGCATGGCCAAGGAGCGGGCCCATGCAGAGCGGAGCGGTGCTGCCTGATGCCCTGCTGCTTCCCCCCTCCCCAGGCACTCCCTTGCCTCCGCGGGACGTGAGGCTGGAGGCGCAGAACTTCCACGTCCAGCTGCGCTGGGAGCCGGACCCCGGCTTGCCCGATGGTGCCGCGTACCAGGTGGAGTGGAGGAGACGGTAGGTGGGGTGGCAGGGACGAGGGGCCAAGGTGCCTATCCCCCTGCACCCTTGTCACCGAAAATCCGGGAATAGACCTCGTAACACCAATGTAGTGTTAACAGGCAGCATTCTTTATTGCGACGTCGGATGCACGGGGGATAATTCCGCCGAACGTGCATACCCCATACCCCTTCTGTGCAGTCTATATAGATCAAAATATACATATTCATCTGATTACATAAGCCCTTCCTTTCATAGTCAAATCAGTCCATTTTCATACACTCCTCCCACCCGCGCTTGCGCAGTGCCTCCTAGTGGTGGTCGTCGGGGGTCCCAAGATGAAGGCTTATCCTCTTCGTCACAGTTTCTGCGCAAACTCAGTCCTCTTCTGGCTCTTGTCCCTGCGGCACGGGTCGTCTTGACCAGTTCTAGGCACCTGCTGGTTTTAATTGAAACTAACTTCTTTGGGGGGAGATGTATGACTTTTTGCTTCAGTTAATTCACACAATAGATAGGTACCACAAATACACCTGCAACCATTTGGTAACGTATTTCTATTAAAAATCCCCCTTCACCATTATTGTTTAACATTAATGATTACCTAGGGACTAAACCCTCTGTTCCCAGACCTAATGTCCAGATGGGCAGGGCTGTACAAGGGACATAGCAGCATTGTTCGTGCTTTATGATTAACTAATTCCATCACCTTGGTTACACCCTGGCAGGGGCTGTGCGGGACCCCCGGTAGCCAGAGGATTATTATCTGGCAGGGAATATCACAGAGTACCAGAACAGCGGAGCTGGCAAGGAGCTCCAGCAATCAGCTCAGCCAACCCTGGCTCAGGCAGGGTCAGCTCACGACTGTGTCCCGTTGGGTTTTGACCACCTTCAAGGGCAGAGCCTCCACAACTTGCCTGGGCAACCTGTTCCCTTTCCTGGTCACCCTCCCAGTGAAAAAAACAAAAAAGGGTTTGGGTTTTGGGGTTTTTTTTCCCCTATGCTTAAATAGAATTTCCTGTATTTCAGCCTGTGCCTGCTGCCTCTTGTCCTTTCATTGGGCACTGCTGAGAAGAAGTCTCCATCTTATTTACTCTATCACATTGATAAGACCTCCCCACCCTAAGCCACTTCTTTTGAGGCTAAGCAATCCCCGCTCGATCGGCTTCCCTCATTCCACAGATTCCTCAACCCCTTGGTCATCTCTCTGGCCCCGCAGCGGGCACTCTCTGGCATGGACATGGGTTTTCTTGTAGCGGAGACCACGGGTCAGGGCGCATCCCACCAGTGCCCATGAGAGGGGATTTGACTTGCTGGCAGTGCTCTTCCTAATGTAGCCCAAGATGCTGTTGGCCAATATCTGTGCTCTCCCACGCTTTCCACTCGGGCAGGATGGCCATGGCTAGGCAGCCTTCCTTTTTGGCTAGAAAGGTGCCAAAAAGGAGAATTCCCTGCATTTTCTCCATGGGCAGAACCTCGCACTGGACCAAGGCAGATGAGTGCTGGAGGAACGGCACTGGCTCCTCCTGGGCATGTGAGCTGTATTTTGACAAGATCCACGATATCTACTGGGCAAGGGTGAGAGCAGTGGCCGGAGGCGAGCTGTCCCAGTGGGCCTATTCCAGTGAGCTGCAGCCATACAGAGACAGTAAGGACCAGGGAGCCCCTTCAGCTGGGCTCCTGCCCTTCCCGGGGTGGGGGGGGCAATGGGGAGAGGGGTCCTTGGGGCGGTCTGGAGGGTTATGGTGGGAAATCACTTGAAGATACTGGTGGGAAAAGTGCCAAGAGCCCCACCAGAGGAAAGGGATGGGAACAGAGCTTCTGGAGAAGGGCTGCCTGAAGAGCAAGGGGACAGAGGAGGAGACACAGTGAGGTGAGGACCACGGATGGGAGGCTGCAGGCCACTGAGGCACTGAGAGATCTTGGGTCTCTGTAGAGCACAGTGAGATGGGGCCGGAGAGAGGATACCCCTCCAGGCTTGCCTTTCAAAAGCATCCCTTGTTCATCCCTGCTGTGGCTCTGGGAGATGCTGGGTGAGGGCATTCTTGTTCCAGCAAGGTGAAGCTGGTGCAGGGTGGTGAAGGCAGGAGTAGTCCCTCCAGCGCTGCCTTTGCCCTGGCTGCTGTGTTTGCAAGGTGTGAGCACGTGCCTGCTCTCAGTCACAGGCTGGCTGTTCTGTCCAAAACGCCTAGCTGCCTTTTGGAGGAAGGAAAAACCTCAGGACCTTCCCCTAACCCACCTCACAGGGGCCTATCGCCCTGAACTGAACGTGCAGGTGGCTAAAAAGGGATGCATGTCAGCTGTCTGAGTTTCGTTTTTCATTCCCTCTGCATCCAGCTGGCATGGAAATAGATATGCTTTAGCTAAAAGAGTCCCTAGACCATCATCAGATGGCTCAGAGATGAAGTGCTGAGGAGCAGGGAGCCGGAGGTGCTAGCAGGTCTGTCCTGGCCTGTGTTGGTGTGACTGGAGGAGGCAGAAGCAGCGCTGGCTGTCGTAAAGACATGGTGGCTGCCATTTCTGGAGCTGGTTTCACAGCACACAGTGCCATCAGGCTAGACCTGAGGAGGTTTCTATGTGCTGGGAGTGGGATGTCCAGCAGAAAATCATCATTTCTAGAGCAAAGAGATGCCTGCCTTCTGTTTCGAAGGGCTTAATTTTCTTCTCCATTTTATTTTTTTCCCCTCCTTACAGCAATTGTGGGCCCCCCCAAGCTGTCCTGGCTGCTCCAGGGTCACACCCTCAGCATAAATGTCACCATGCCGCTCACTCCTTACCGAAACAAAGCCGGCTCTTACAAGCCAGTGGACCAAGTGCTGCTGAAGCTGTGGTATTGGCTGAGCCTGTACGAAGGGGACGTGCTCGTCCAGCAGGTACGTGGCGGGCTGGGCAAGGCTCCGAGGGCGTGGGACTTGCTGCACCAGCAAAGCTCTTGATGCCCGCGTTGAGTTGCGTCGGTGTGGTAGTGCGTGTGCCGCAGACTCGCCCCATCCCTGCCCACGCCCAGCAGTGCGAGCAGGCTTGAGGTGCTTTGCACTCCCAGTTTGGGGCTCGCAGCCTGGGGGTGGCAGGGGATCCCTTTCCTCCCCTAGACTGCGTGAAAAAGAAAAACCTGCAACCATTTCTGTTCAAAGGAAAGCATGCAGTAGGTGTTTTACAAGAGGGTCTGGGACCTGAACACCTCCCGAGGTGAAGAAACAAGTGCTGGAGACGCTGGGGAGCAGGAAGGGAGGGTCTGTGCTCCACACCATGGGGCAAGCGGGTGTCGAGGTCGCACCGGGGAGTGGAGCAGTGCGCAGACCCCACCTCCAGCCGCCTTGGCCACGAGTCCCCTCTGCTTCCAGGTGCCCTGCAGACGGAGCAGGGAGGAAGCACCGTGCACCTTCAGGTACCTGAAGCCCAGCACGCAGTACTGTGTCCGGACAGCGGCCGCGGACATGGCCCGGGAGCAGAGCCGGGAGGCCGAGCAGTGCATGGTGACACCGGCGGGCCCCGCAGGTGGGACTTCTCTCACCGCTGCTGTTGTCTTAGGTCCTGCCAGCGGCACAGACCTGTGGAGGTGTGGGTCACTCATCCCCCACCATTCTGGTCAGGGTTGGTGGCCCGGTAACACCCTGTGGGGACCTTTCTTGGGGAGATGCTCTCTCACCATCCCCCTTGGTCTTGCCCTGCATCTCCTGCTTGAACATCCCAACCTGTTGCGGGGGCTGGGGAAGCGCTGGCATAGGGCAGGCTGGGAGGGATACCGGCTGAGGTCCTGCCACGCCTCAGCCTGTTGTGACCTCCTGGCAGGCTTTCCCTGGGTCCTCCTTGCCGTGCTGTGTGGTGTCCTCCTGCTGCTGACCATGGCTGGGCTCTGCTTCATCCAGCTGCACATCATCCCCGGCCCCTCCGAGACGCACCTCCCAAAAACACTTGTGAGTGAACGATCCTCCTCCAGCCTCCACCCAGCGTGTGCCGCGGCCAAGCCGGGGTCCCCTGCGTTTACAGGGGGCTCAGCATCTCCATCTCCCCACCTCTGCCCCCACCAAACCCATCTCAGTGCCCAGGTGCCTCCCCCCCTTCCGACCCACCGTACCCCCAAGCCTTGCTGCATGGGAGAAGATACTGATGGGATGCATCAGTCAGCTATGGGTCACGCTGGAGGAGGCTGTCTCGGGCAGCACGTATCCTGCGAGTCCGTCACCGCTGGCTGGCGGGGGTCTCAGCAAGCTGAGGCTGATGACTTCGTTGCTTGTTTCCTGGCAGGCTCTCCTGAACAGGGAGATGAGGGTGACTGTCACGGTGCCCACCCTCGAGCTCAAGGAGGACTCGCTCGCCCTGCTCCTGCCGACCACGCTCCGCTCCTGCGGGCTGCCCGCCGCCCAGCAGAAGCCCGCCGCCC